CATACTTTGGACATGTTTCAAGGAGAGACAGGTCTTTGGAGAGGCACATCATGCTCGGTAGAGTAGAGGGACAGCGCAGGAGGGGAAGACCCTCTATGAGGTGGATTGATTCAGTTACTGGGGTAATTGGGGTGGGTGGGTGTGTTAGAGGCAATGCGATTGGCACAAGATAGAGCAGGGTTTAAGGGTGTTGTACATAGGGTCGCTATGAGTTGCAAACGACTCGACGGCACATAAGAACAACAATAACAGCAACCATCAAATTGGAATATATTCAAAGCTGACCCCTTCCCCGCTACTGTATTTTCATACAGCAAGAACATAACTGTCTTTCTTCTGCAAAACACCTTGTGATTTGGAACTGTATACCTTTGTCTTGGTAGTGCAACTCCTTTACACTAAGCCACCATTATAGAGGACATAATTTAATCCATAACATCACATAAATATAACAATTAAGTAGGGAAAGATTCCAGTTAGAAGGTTAAAATTTAAGCTACATTTTTGCTTTTAAAGAATCCCAATGTATTACTGTTTTCAGAGAAATCATCAAAATCACATTGGTTTCTGTAATAGCTAAAAATATTTTTATGCTATTTCAATTTTCTGTAGTCTTAGACATTTTCTTTCTCTTTCCTTCTTCCCTGTACTCCCTCCTTCCCTCCTTATTTCCCTTCCTCTCTCCCTTCTTCCCTCCCTCCCCATACATAGAGAATTGATAATTTTACTAGTGCTCTTGGAGCGTTAGTTTCCTAAAACACAAATTCATTTTAACTTAAAGCTGTTGGGATTTGAAAAATAAGTAATTATTTGCTGCTTTTTATGGACTTAAAATGTAATCTCAATAAATTATTTTCTAATAGTTTTTTTTTCATCTCCTTCCTCTCTTTTTCTCCTCAGCATTTTTTACCTCGTGGGAAATGTGAGCAGTTAATCAGACAAGGCATTCTGGAGCATGTGCTGTCATAGCTTTCCATCGAGACTGAGCCCTGCTTATGGAGACATCTACACTTCTCTCTCTCTCTACCTGATATTCCCCCTACTTTTTTTTTTTTAAGTTACAGAAATCCTTTTAATTATAACCGAGAATACTTGACTAGTGAGTATAAGTTGCTACCCTATAAAGACTTTCTTTTCCTTTTTATTTTTAATGTTATGCAATTTCCTCTCTTATAGATAAGAAAATCATATCTATAATTATAACATTCTTTTATCAATACAATGTGACCTTTTTTTTAAAAAAAGGAAAGTAAACATCACTTTGGAATTTGGTTGTACAGGGAGAAGGCAGGACCTGATGAATCTTGCTTTCTTCTGACAGTGTATGTGGTCAGGATTGCTGTGAAATTCTGATGAAATGCAAGGCAGGGATCTCAAAGTTTTGCAATATGTGTTATCAGGTCACAAAAGCAAAAGGAAATGATGATTTATAAAATGTTAATGTATTGAATATGTAATCACTGTAGTTTATCAATTAATTTGGGAAGGGAGAAAGCAAGGAGATGGTGGATTTTTGCCCATTCTCAGTAGTGATAAGTGGCCTGGCACATGACTGAGCATCAGTCTTTGAGTGTTCTCAGGAGCGTCTGTCACAGAGTGCCACAACTTTTTATTTTTATTTTATTTTATATTGGTTTGCTTACAAAGTTCATATACATTGTGTTTCACACTATCCATCATTCACATTATACCACAACTTCTTGGTTGTTAGATGCCATAAAGTTGACTACAACTCGTAAGCCTATGAACAACAGATCTGAAAACTGCCCTGCTCAAGTCCATTGTTAGTCACTATTTCAGTCCATGTTGTTGAGGATTTTCCTTTCTGATTCTTCGCTTTTCTCAGCATGATCTCCCTATCTGAAGACTCACCCCAGCTAACAGCATTCCCATAGTATTTGAGATGAAGCTTCACCATTCTTCCCTATAAGGAGCACCTTGGTTGCCCTTTCTTCCAAGGATAGACATATTTGTCCCTTTAGCAGTCCATGGGATATTTAGTACTCTTCTCCAATGCTACAATTCAAAGACATCAGTTCTTCTGTCATCCTAATTCATTTTCCAATTTTAAGATGCGTCAGAAGTCACTGAAAAGACCATAACTTTGATCAGGCACACCATAAGCTTTAAATAAGCCTTGCCCTTGATCTCTTTAGAGAGGTCCTTGACGTGAGATTTCCCCAATGTAGTATGTCTTGATTTCTTGACAGTTGTTACTATGAGTGTTGACTGTTGAGCCAAATAAAAGGAAAGCACTGACAACTTTTTTTTTCTCTTACTGATGATATTGCCTTTTGGTCTAGTGATAAGGATTTTTTTTCTTTGATGTTGAGAGATGTATATTGCTGACTATTCTTTGGTCTTCTGCAGCAAGTATTTTAAGTCCTCTTCACTTTCTGCAAGCAAGGTTGTGTCATCTGCATAACGTAGATTGTTGATAAGTCTTGTTCCAATCCTGATGTCACATTCTTTGGATAGCCCACCTTCTCAGGTGATTTTCTCAGTATTCAGATTGAATAGATTCAATCAGTTCAATTCAGATTGGATTGATACTCACCTTTTCTGATTTTAAACCATGCAGTTTTTCCTTATACCACAACTGGCATACCTTAAAACAGTTAAGAATCTATTCACCCTCCTGAGTGAAATATCTCAGCCACTAAAGGACAAATACTGCATAGTGCCACTGTTGTAAAGCAGGTATGACTTCAGAGTTTGGGGGAAACTAAAAGGGGATAAAAAATGTATACTGCATTGAAATAGATGACCTGTTTAGGAAGAGTATATGATTAGGTATTATCATGACAAGAGTCCAGAATAAAAGGTGCATAGTGGAGTGGACTGGGGGTGGGGGATTATATAATGATGGGGTTTTTTTTTACTTTTCAAAGAGAAAAGCGAACTGGGGAGAGGGGTGGGCAGGGAGGAAAGTGTGCAACAATGAATGAATGGAAATCCAAAGTCTCTGTAAACTTTCATTAAAATAAAAAAAAAATTATTCACCCTCAGTTTATGGAAGCCAGAAGTTGAAGTCAGGATGTTAACAGAGGATGCTTTCTTTGAATAATATTCTAAAGGAGAATCATCCTCTTAACTTCTGATTGTCTATCAATATCTTTGGTGTTCCTTGGCTTGTATACTATCACTTCCATCTACCCTTACATTCCATAGAATTCTTCACTATGTATCTCTCTTTAAATTTTCTCTTTTAAAGACAACAGCCATGAGAAGCCACCATCTCTATCTTAAGCATTTTTTCTCAGCTATTTAGTTATGATGTCCGTGGAAAGTGGAGCTGAATCTCTCATGAACTCTTGCCAGCAGGGTGCCTTAGTTGAGATTCGCTCCCAGAACACTAGCAACTCAGCTCCCAGCAATGGCTCCATAGTCTGCAGTCACCTCACCTGTGACTATACTCCACCTGTCACGTCTGATGTCCTAGATCCAACCACTGCTACCTGTGTGTTGGTGGACTACAGTCACTGGATACCTCAGTGGAAGAAGTAATAGTGAGCCAGCAAGGCTTCACATCACTTATCAGGAGCCTTAGACCATCCAGGAGCTCAGCAGAAACAGCATTTTGCTTCTTACCTCTATGAGATGAAACGGTTTGTGGAGTGCACCTCAAACTAGGGTAATTTAAACTCTGAAGGTGTCATATAGGGGCTGAAGCAGTGCAAATTAGCAAATGTAATCAAGAAGTGTCAATTGAAGAAATGGAAAATCTTCACATATGTTGTTACGAGATAACTATGACTCAGTTCTGAAGCTTACCCTATCCTGAGCCAACTTCACCATCTCTGAAACACCTTTAGCTGTGACTTGATTTCCAGAGTTACTTTGTCAGTCCATATCGTTGAGAGTCTTCATTCTTTGTGATGTCATTCAGAGCATATTGTCCTCCATGAACTGGCCCCTCTTGATAACATTCTCAAAGAATGTGAAATGGCATTTCAAAGTCCTTGCTTCCAAAGAGTGTCCTGGTTGTGTCCTGGCTTCACGTCCTTCTGGACAGAACTGGTTGCTCTCTTGGCAGTCTGTGGTATGTTCAACACTCTTCTCTAGCACCACAACTGAAAAGCATTGATTTCTTCTGTCATCCAGTTATTGTTCAGCTTTCAGATATATAGCAAGCAGTTTGGAACACCATGGCTTGGATGAGGTGCACCTTACTTTCTAGACTAACATAATTGATTTTTAGCATTCTGGAGAGGTCCATGACAGCATATTTTCCCAGTGCAACTCGTTTTGATTTCATGACTGCTGGTGCAAAGTGTTGATAATGGATCTAAGCAAGATGAAATTGTTAACAACTTCAACCCTTTCTCCATCTATCATAAAGGTGGTATTGACCTGATGGTGAGGAATTTTTTTCTTGTTGAGATGCAGTCCATGTTGAAGAGTGTAGTGCTTTATCTTCTGTAGGAAGCAGTTCAAGTTCTCCTCACTTTTTGGGAAACAAGAAATCTGGAGGACAGTTACTTGCTAACTAACTGGAAGAGATCCATATTCCCATTCCTAAAATGATGATACAGAGTGGAAATTATCAAACAATGTAATTAATATCACATGCCAGCAAAATCTTGCTGAAGATTATCTAGAAATGGCTACAACAGTACATGGACAGAGAATTGCCACAAATACAAGCTGGATTTGTAAGGGGCTGTGGCAATAGGGATATCATTGCTGCTCTCAGATGGCTCTTGGCTGGAAGCAGAGAATATCATAAAGATTTCTGTTTGTACTTTACGGACTATTCAGAGGCATTAATGCGGATCATAACAAATTGTGGCTAACACTAAGAATGGGAATCCCTGAACACTTGATGGTGCTCATGTGAAACCTATACCTAGATGAAGAAGCTGCTCTCTCAACAGCAAGGGAACACTGCACGGTTCAAAATCAAGACTGGAGTGTGATTTTTCTCCAGATAGGATTTTTTTTTCTTTAGTCAGCAATTAGTATTGTAGTATTATTTTTTAATATATATCTCTCCACATTTTCTTTATTTTAGAAATAATTATATACACTCGACTTATTTTCTTTAAATAAAATTTTTATTTTATACTGGTTTACTTACAAGGAAAATAAAGGAGTGTGTCAGGGATGTCTCCTTTCTCCATACTTTTTCAATCTAAATGGGGGACAGATCATTTGAGAAGCTAGACTTTATGAACAAGAAACTTGCCTCAGTATCAGCAGAAGACTCATCAACATCTATGATCAAGTTCTTTTAGCATAAAACTAAAGTTAATAGTGACAGTAAAAAGGGTACAAGGCCACCATTGTTACTAGCTTCCTTGCTTCAGAATCTCCATGAAAGAGGCTGTCTTACTGTGCTGAGATGATTCAGGCTTGGGGCTGGGCCTTTTAGAAGGCCTTGATTTTAAAAAGCCATACAAACTTGATTCATTTTTGTGGTGGCCTTTTAAAGCAAATTTGTGGTATAATTATTTGAATTAATTAAAGTTATTTTCTCCCCTCATTTTAAAATATACTGGTTGTACAGTAACAATATAAAAATCAGTAGTTAGATATATTCTTGTGTACCTAGAGTCCTAACTGTCCCATAGCACACCCTCTAGTTGGTTTTCAGAGGTATTAAATCTCACGAGAAGAGATTGCCCATCCTCTACCAAACAGCTGGTGGCCTGGAACTGTATGCCTTAAGGATTACAGCACAGCTTCCTGCCACTAAGCCACCAGGACCCATTTAGGGTGGCATATGATTACACAGGAGCATATATAGGTTTGGTATAAAATGTTTTTGCATATATATTTGTGCTGCAAATATATCCAGGTAAAAAACAGAGTGGAACTCTGAGGTCTAAGAGTTATGCTGCTAAACCCAAAGGTGATGTCCCTCTGGCCGTTCTAATTCACCAGTGACTCTACGAGAAAATGGAAAATCTCCCTTATAGTTTACAGTTAATGATACTCTCCTTGAGGGTCAGCTACAAGTTAGCAAT